ACATTATGCTTGGTGAATCCACTCTGAATGGTTCAGAATAATAAAAACAAACAAAACTTCTGGTACCCTATCTCCTAGATTTCATGTGGTATCCTGGTGCAGAAAACTCACAAGTAAGAAATAGAATACCTGCCACCAACTATTACAGCTTGATGGCATGTTCATATTTGCAGTAAAAAGCACGTTTGAGGAAAAAAGCACAGAGCACAAGAATAAAGAGTAGCCCATGCTAGTTTTTATAGCTATCCCAGAAAATTAAAAAAATTCCTCTTTGTTTACAGTTTGTAAATGACACAGAAGAGCTGGTGCTTTTGTACAGTGACAGAACTAAAAAAAAAATTAAAAAAAATAATTTTTTCCACAGTTTCAAGAGTTGTGCCAAAAGAGACCTAAAACTTGCAAGGGACATTAATTCACCTAATTGTAGCTACAGGTAAATATAATCAAACTGAATAGCAGTAAGAACGTAACAGGCATTTATTCTATTCTATGACACAGGAGCAATATATAAACACAACTATACAGCTTTCTAGTCACAGAAAGATTCTCCTGTAGTTAACACGCATCTTGACTATTGACAGAAACTGTGCATCTGAAAAAGCAGTTCCTGTTTTCCCTTTTATCCAAAGTTTAGAGAATCTTACTATGTTATCCCTAATCCAAGAAATTCCAGGAAGGTATACATCTTACTTGAATCAGAAAAATCTATTTGCAGGTTTAAAACTTGAGAATATGCTACTTTTGATGGGGAGTGAATGTACAACGCTTCTCTGATAAAGAACCAGAATCCTCTTGGCTTCATGACGTGTATTAAACAGAAAATTGCAGGCATCAAAAAAAACTACAATCCATGCTTCTTACCCACCAGACAAATCACTATTAGAAAGGAAAAAAAAAAGAAAAAAAAAGTAAAGCTTAAGTTATCTGAAGAATATTAAAGATGTAAGGGACAACAATAGATTACTGATTTGAAACTATTCTTTTCCAACTTACCCACCATTACCCACATCAGTTCCCTGTCCAAATCAACATTAGAAAGCCAGGAATCTGACTAAATCTTCAAATGAATGTTTCCTCAACTTGTCAGACCTAGCGCTCTGTCCTCCTCTTCTTAAATCCAGACCTTTTGCTTTGACAATTCTCTCAGGTTTATCTCTCAGTTCAGGGCCATACATATCAAATGACATGAGGGAAGATGGCACCAACATTCAACTGCAGCTAGGAACAAAGCTTTATGGTAAACAGGGCTTTAGAGAAGCCTTGAAAACATCTCTCAACTGTAACACAGTAGTGTGGCCTCTCGCCCGTTACATGCAGCAGATGCATCCTGTTAATGGATGGTAGATCAGGCTCACAAGCTGACCCAGGAGGTCACAGAGCTGGCAAGAGGCATGAAGTTGCTCTGTGAAAGAATGAGAGCCAAGCCAGCTTACCAGAGAGCACAAAGCAACAGCCAGCACCAGCAGCCCTTGTTAAGTAAGATTTCGTGGGTATGATTACACCAGGAAAGCCTTTTGGTTAAGAGACGTCATTGCCTCAGGCTTAAAGCCAGTTTGGTAAGAAAGACTTGTTCAGGGTTTTGTCCTCCAGATACGAATTTCTTCCAGTATGAAAGGACGGGCCTTCAGCCACAGGGGGTAGGGGGGCAAACCAGGAAACTGATGTTTGTGCAATAACAGCACATATTAGTAAGTGATACATGCTACCTTTATTGTAATTTCAAAGCCTGAGACCTCAAGGCTTTATATTACACAATACTACTTTCCTGACATTAAAAATTGAGCACAGAGTACAACGCGCTGGGAACAAAATCAAATTTGTAGACAAATAATGCTACCAAGGATATAATCCAAGGCATACTCTTTAATTTCCTTGGGCAATACTTCATTTTGGTTACAGCACTGGTACACTCCTCATTCCCAGTATAACTTAAAACTACCAGTGTAGTGTAGCTGATTTAACAAAATACGTTGTAGTATACATCTCAGAAAATGATGCAGCTTTAGAATTTTCTGCTCTCAGAGCCTGCTCCCAAACCTGGATTGTCCCCTGAGTTGTGCCTGTATAGCTGTGAACTCAAGCACCTCCTCTTTTCAAACGATGTAATGCACATCTACTTCATCCCTAAGTAAGAGTGGTAGAAATTTAAAGCCGCATATCAGTACAACAAAAAAGTAATTTCCTTGCTAATGATTTTATTTTCTGCTCATCTATTTAGAGATACTGATCTGCCAAAACTTATTTACTTAAGGGTCTAGTCCTGACACAGATGATGTCAGTGAGATAGGGTCAAATCCTGAAGACTCAAGGCAAAGTGTAGAAAAAAAACCTTAACCACCTTATTTAATGTCTGCCAAAACTCTTTAGTTTTTTTTTTTTTTACTTAAAATGTCTCACTTATCTTGCCTATACAGTAACCTAATGGTAAGGATGAGCAAAGAAACTGCCCCTCTGCTAGTCTCTTCCCTCTGCAATTCTACAGGTGACTGCCCCTTACAGCAGAAGGGGTTTTCTGAAATGGAGTAGCTGGAAAGACCATACTTGAGCATATTTAATTAGTTATGAGCAAAAAGTGAAAGCACTGTCCAACACAAATCCAGCACAGATGCTGCAAACTCATGCTACTACGTAGTCTGGGTCATGATGCCTCCAGCTTTATTCCAAAACTTATGTGAAAACCTGAAACCACTTAAAGATAGAACAATAACATCTAAGTGTATAACAATGAGGTATTTGGAATCCTTCAAGTAACAGGATGCCTTAGTGGCCTAGTGGCAAACAGTCAGAATTTGGTTTTTAGTCCATCGCATCAACAGAGTCAGGGAGTGGTTAGAAGTATTTTGGGATGATGAGGAAGGAGTCTCATTTTTTCTTCTCAGAAGATGGGCTAGATATATTTTTTTCTTACTATACTAATTTGTGTTTCTGCATGTTTGCTGTTCATGTATAAAACCAGAACTCTCTACATGAGAAATAACCAAGAAAATGTGATCAATCAAGTGTGGACAAAAGAATAAGATGAGGAAACTTGGTTATGATGCAGTGAAGGTCTACAAGTGAAGGCTGTGATTAGCCCTCCAAAACTTGGCTAATGCCTCAGACAGCCTGAGTGTGTGGGTCTGCTTAAAGAAACAGGGTTAGATTTCAGCCACAGTAGTTAGTGTAACCTCACTGTTAAGGAGTGACCTAAACCAGCCAAGAAACCCTTGATCTAAACAGTCTCACTGCTATAGCTGTCCTGATTCTTCAGTAGAGATCTTTGCTGGCACAGCAACTAACTCAAATAGAGTGGGTAACGTAGCCATAAAGTTGCACAGAAATACTTACGCTAGTAAAGCCTAGTACAAAAATAGATACAACTGTGCCAGAAGAGCTCAGCTTTATTCAGCTTAACCTGGCTCATTTGGGACAGAAGGGAGGCAAAATTTTACTTCCAGGAGGGGAAAAAAAAAAAATCCACCACCACCAAATCTTCTTTCTCTGACCTATCTACATAGCTGGACACTGCTAAAGCAGCCATAGTGGCATAAGTATAGTGGCAAAGGCACTTCTGGAACAGAAATGCTTTTAGAGCCACTTTTAGAGAAGCAGGAGTAAATAAAAATGATGCATAAAATCAACAATCATTTCACAGCTGAGCATTTTTTAGTAGAAGTGAACAGAGGAAGCATGGCTGCAAGAGATTTTGAACGGTCACCTAATCTGTTCTGGAGGAGCAGCCAAGCATCAACTATTCCTGGTAAATGGTAACCGTTTGTCTACCTTGTTTGTAAAAACCTCCAGTGACAGAGATTCTGGCTGAAATACTGTGCTTATGCACTGCTGCTTACCCACTTCTTCAATGATCACTTATTGCTCTTAAAAGTCTTTTTTTTTTTTTCCACAGAGAAGGAAACAGATGCCTATACCTAGAGGCTAAACCGTACAAGGACAGACATTTATGCTAAAATAGCATATGTGATAGGGGTACAGAAAGACATATGCAGTCTAGCAATAATCCACCCAGCTTTCATCAGTGAAGACACAGCTTCAGCCACTTCGGCACTCTCTGCAAAGCAGATAAAGAAACAAATCAGCACCTTGCATAAGGATGACACTCTTCCTTCTCAAAACAGTTCAAGAGATCAGAGGATCAACTTACGATAGAAAGAAAAGAAATAAGAGTGGGCAAATGGAGCACCTTGAATGCACCAGAAAAAAAGAGAAGCCTTGATGCAAGCACAGAGCAGGAACAGACAGAAGAGGGCACGTGGCTGTACAGAATGGATGATCTCAGTACCAGGAGACACACACAACCCCAACATCAGATGGCAAAAATGCAGAAGACTACTGGGGTACATAAAGCATTATCTCTGAAAGCCATTGGCAGGGAAAGACCCCTGAAAATTGTTGGTTAGAAGATAGATGGGGGGACATTATAGGCTGGGAGATGACATAACCACGCACCATGGACATGGTATAAATCTGAGGAGAGAGGAGTTACAGGCAGCCCCTAATGTTGAGGTAGCAAACAGAGATCCTAGTTACTTCCCGAAACCCTGGGATATGCAGCCTGCAAGAGCTGCTAAGACTGCACCTCCTAAATACATGGCAAGTCAGATAAAGGGCTTCTGACCATTAACAGGGAAGTGAGGGCATTTAAAACAGCTTGAAGAGCAATGAGGAATAATATTTATCTCTGAAAAATATTAGCACATAAAAAAGGGAACATTTTTATTATCTCATCTTTTTGTAACAGATTTTCAAGGGGAACAAAATGTACCCATAGCATCATTGTTATTAAAAACTTTGGCTAGAGTAAGAAGCTAGAATCTTATTCTCTTCTGCTTTTCCTTTGACACTTCACAAAGCTCCCCTACTGCAAAGTGAAGTATACATGAATGTCTGCCATGGCAAAAATAATAAGCACAGTTCATGACTTCAGCTTGTCTTTGTAAAGCAGTGGCACACTATTTTAATATTAAAATATTTTAATGCAGTTTTAATGTTAATGCTTATTTGAAAAATTTGAACAAGCTAGGTATTAAAAAAGGTCGTATCACTGAACAGCTCTTACACTATCATTAAGTCATTTAAAATTTCACACCCCCAGGCACAGTTTCATAGACACTAGAAACTATCGTAAGCTGGTTCTGCTGCTAGGAAAAAAAAAAGCTTCCTCTCCATTTAGGCAGAAGAGATTGAGCAGAATGTTAATGGACACAAGCAGCTAGGTATATACCACAGTCATCTGAAAAGGAACAAGAGGCTGGTGGAGTGGGAAGGAAAAAACCCTAGGCATCCCGAGCTGCTTAACAATAAGATCAAAGATCCTTAGATATGGGGTTAAAGCCCATCATGTAAATCAACAAGGTGGCTTAGGTGTATCATCTAACTGCCCATCTAACAACTAGCTCTTAGAAAAAAAGGAAGTCCTCCCTCCTCTTTTCCCCATTTGTTCTCACAATCTTGTCTGATGCTTCTCCTTTAGCTGGCTAGGCCAATTAACTCTAGGGTTATAGGAACATCACTACAACAGAAAGGAACAGAGCATGTGTCCAGAGCTGAGTAACACCACCACTCATTTTTAGCTAAATTAAATTGGCTACGATGTGCCATCAAACCACACTTAGGTTTTAGGATTTGGGTTGGGGTTTTTTTTTTTAAACATTCAGTTAGCATTTTAACAGATACACAGATTACTGTTATCATAACAACAGAGTTAATCGTACGCAGCTATGACTGCGTAACTCTGTCATTGACCAGCATTTGAGATCAACAAAACCATATGTATTGCCCTATTCTTATATAAGATTGGATACTTTATGTTTTGCCCTTATTATCTCACATTTGTTGTTCAACATACAGCTTAAGTGGTATTGTCTTTTGACATAGTTTCTGTAAAAAAACCAAACATTAATACTTACAGTTCCAGGCCTTGTAAAGTCGATACTATGTGCTACACTTTGTCTCATCTGATTGCTAAACAAGCGAACACAAACACTTTGAAGATACTCTGGTGTGATCTAAAAAATAGGAAACATAAGGAGACAAGAGGATTATATAAAACTTACACTTTCTACCAGACAAGTGTTTCTGTACTAAAGGTTGTTTGTTTTTTTTTTTTTAAGAGGGCAAGAAATCACACACCTGAGACTCATCAATACAAGTACAAGGTATAATACCGCAACTACAGTTCTGTTCAGAAATTAAGAAAACTGTAAACTCTCTTCATCTGGGAATAGTTACGCTATTCACAAGACTAATGCTAAATGCTTTCAGAGAGTCTAGAAGAAAAATGGCACTTGTCACACCTCTGTTTGCATACAGATATTCCTCAATCAAAAGGTAAGTTCTCCAGCAGTAAGTATGAAGAAGTTTTGTGCTTTAGACTCAGGCAATGATGTGCTGATGTGTTGTCTAGCTAAAGAGCAGAACTCACACAACTCTCTTGTACAGCACAGGGAATAAATATGAATTGTACAGGACTTTGTGTTTCAATGCAAAACATATCAGCGTGGTTACGTTTTTTATTTTGGGAAATCTACATCACAGCAGAACTGCCAAATTTCAGAACAGTTATTAGCTTCCCCAGAACAGAAGTGAGAGGACTGAGATTATAGAAAAGGGAACGGGGACACTTTTGATATTTTCAGACCTATAGAGAGACAACAAAACCCTTCAAATTCATAATGCTGTAACTTTAATGCAATTTTATTCAGTACCCAACTCCACTTTGGATTCAGAAATAACAGAAACCAAGATTCATAACGGAAGAGCACCCTCAGCTGGACACACTTGGGAAGGATCAAATGACTACCCAGCACAAGGCTTACAAGGGAAATGAAACAAGCAACTGCAACAAAAGATAACCAGTGCCTGGTTCCTTCACTGCAGCGGGTAAGAGGATATCACCTTGGAGATGTGAAATGGGAGGCAGTAAATGAATGACTATGTGTTTCTTATTGTTATCAAAGCTCATGTGAGCAGATATCTTTCCTAATCTGCTGTAAAACAAAATCCACACCTACAGGCAAATGCTTCCCTGCAGTAAGGATGCGAACAGACATCCATCCCAGATGCAGAGTAACGAACTACAAGATGTTCACATGGATGACAGGAGGAAGGTACATACTAACTTGTCAGCAGGCAGCACAGGAACTCCTAGGCCATTCTCCCTGCTAAAAATTCACAGCTCCTTTAAAAGCATCTAGAGGCCACTAATATCTGCCATAAAAATAATCTTCAGGTTATACAGAAGTTATAGTATAGAGGCATGCTCACAGAGAAGAGGGGACAAAAGATGAAGCATAAAATCATCTCTGTATTAAAAAAAACCCAACCATAACAAAGTTGTACCTTCTCCAGTCACATATACATGGCCCATTTCACAGGATGAATAACTCATTCACTCCTACCCCAGTTGCCTTTACCAATTAAATTAACAAGTTCAGCTTAGCGGAACAAAGAGCAAAGCTTTTCCTCCCCAAAACTTTGGATGAGAAGATTGTTTCCACCACAGTATAACTTAAAGCAGATCTGGCAGCAGTTTTAAGTATATAACAACCTCCAATGGGCTGGATTGCAGTCAGTAATCACAGAAATGCCTCCTAATCACTACTGATGCCAAAGTTCAAAAGAGGACTCTCACAAGAGATCCGAGATGTCTTCTTCAGATCATCTTCGAGATTTTTGAGCCAGCACAATTCAACCCATCTTCTGCACTACCTTTATCCTAGTACATAGGGGTGATGGAAGAATCTCTCATGCAAAGTGCTGTGTTTCATTAGTAAAGAGACACAGTACTTACAGAAATGCTCAGCACTATGAAGTTTTAATTCACATTTTAGTGGCATTCTTTCTCCTTTTTCTGGGGGCGTGGGGGAAGCAAGTACATATCTGAGTCATCTCTTACCATCTTGCCATTGACTGTGGCCTCCAAGGAATCCACCAGCTCTGCAGTGACTCCAATGAGATTATGGTAGTCTGCCTGCATTTTGTTAAATCGTTTCAGGTAAGTCATGGTCCTGTGCTCAGATTCCACTAACTGTTGATGAAGATGTTGCAACATTTCTGTCAAGAGAAAAATAAAAAAAGGAGTAACAGAACCTTTTCAACCAAAACAACAAAAGAACCTGCAAGCATTTTTACTGCTCTGAAGGGACAACTTCAAGTACTGCTGTGGAATTACATTTATCTAAAGGGTGGAATTTCACTGCAAGGATAATTCCATCCTATAGAGTGATTTCATTTCATCGCAACAGCTAGAAGGATTTATTTTGCCTTAATTACCCAAAGAACCAATTGCTTCACAGTTCCAGCAGCAATACAACCATTAGACAGTAAACATCACTGAATACATTTCTGAAGAAGATACTGTTTTAAAGGTCTGTTCATACAAGAAGTTCCATGCTATCAGAAACAAAATGAGGCTGTGGGCACTGAATCAGAAGAATATATGACAATGCAGCTCACACTCGGTTAACTCAACTTGCTATCTGCATATGAGATCCATGCACCATCTTTTACATTCACTAAAGTAACAGTGGGTAAAAAAACATCATCACACCAAGCAACTGGAAAGGTCAAGGAGCCACTTCAAAGACAAAACAAAAAAAACAGGAGAATGACAGTATGCAGAGATTCATGCCAGTGTTACACTGTGAGGCTGGGTGTTTTCTCCAGTTAATTTATAGAAATAGACCACTATTATCAGCTTATATAATGCTTTGTTTATTTTAAAGTAAATACTAAGTCTTCTATCTTTTAAGGAAAATGGTACAACTCACAGAAAAAAAGCCCCCCAAAACAATATTCAAGTTATCCAGATCCTCTTCTGCTATTAAAATATTCACTGAATTCCTTGAAATTGCAGGGAATTCTCTACTTCATTCTCTACCTCTACACAAAATTTTTCAGGCAATTCTGTCATTTACCGGTTGATGGCAAGCTGTATTATTTACTTTTACTACCTTCAGTTTCTGAAAATAACTTGCTTTTTTCTTTTATTGTTATCTAAATTTAAAAAAAAAACCCAAACCCAAAGAGTTACATTCCTGATACATTTTGTTCCATCGGGTTCAATTACTTTAGAGACAAAAGCAGCAAACTAAAACAAAAACTAAACAAAATCTGTATGCTCCATCCCAGTCTCAGACTAAGCCAAATTAGTGTTCTACATGGAAGTCAGGCACGGAACCTGGACCTACGTACTGCAGCGCACATCTTCATGACTGGACAAAACTATGAAGGCAGGCACAATATTTCTATTGTTACTGCTGATGTTTATGTATTTTGCTAGAACATTACGTTCTAAATTAGTTTGCTAAGAAGCCAGTATTGCTCTAATGTTGTGAAAACGGCATCGTGCCCATCTTGCAAACAGACGGAATATTTACCATAGGACTTTTTGCTAAACAGTGGGCAGGAATCAGCTTGACTACAGATTTTCAGACAGAAGCAGGATTCATTTTCGCAGATTTAAAACATTTTGGGGTTAGAGTAGAGCATTCCAAATAGCCCAATATGACACAGCTTAGGTCCAAATAGACCCAAAGGGAAAAAAAAACCAAGAAAGTATCTAAGATACAAAATTGGAAACTAGAAAAACTAGTTCCTGTTCCTGGCTTTGAACAAACTTTGCCCATGATCTTTGAGGAAACCATTATCCTCTCTCATGATTCACTATCTCTTTCCATAAAGATGTAGACATACATTCCTCTAACATAGAAGCATTGGGAAACGTAACTGATAAGTAGAAATCTTTGGGATCTTCCTTTGGAGAATCCTAAGGAGTAAGAAGTTCCACTGCACAGTTATGCCCTGTGTTTGAAAAAAGCTCATCATATAATACCTTGCAGCTATGATGAACAAGCGCTGGAGAATTTGGGTGTAGCTATTAAAAAACTGCTCTATGAATTCAGGCACGAACCTCTGCTGTCCCACAGCAGCTGGCAGCAGGGTGGTAATCTTCAGCAGAGGGAAAAATAGGGAGCGGAAGTGCTGTATTAGCACATGGCTTATCTAGTAAAGCCTTCAGAAGTCATCTTCTATGATGGCAATCCAGTTATATTGCAGGTAATGATGTACTAATCATGCACAAATATCTGCCAAACAACTTCCGACAAGCCACTTCAAAAAGCGATAAACACGTAGATGTAAGAGACTCAAAACTGCCAGAGAAATACTATTCAAATAGAACGGTTTGTAAAGCTTTCATTGCAAATGAAAGATCAAAGTCATTAGATAGCTCTATGAATTCAGATGTCGGAAACTGCTTTAAAAACTTGTCGCATCTTATGTATTTTTAGGATTTCTGAAATAGGCTGCTTTTATCCCATTTATATTAAAAGCAGTAGATCACAGCAGATTACTTTCAGAAAATTTAGCAAAATGATCTTTTTAATGGCATATTTAAGAGAAAATGTGCATGAACAGACTTTAGGTATAAACTTTAGCTATAAATTGACAGTCTTAAAATAAAGCATGAAATACAGAGAAGGTACATTTTCTCACTGCTAATCTGTATTTTTTCAAAATCTATGAGTTAAGCAAAAAAAAAAAAAAGGAAGAAAACCCATGCAGTTATTTTACTCTCACAGCCTCTTCCTCTGTCAGAATGGCTGCTTTCTGAGAACCATTCCTGAATCACAGCACTCTGCACCTCCAGGATTTGTGACTGACACCTGATATCAAACTGCAAATCAAGCCACTCTAATGATATTTTTCTTATACTTTCTAGGAGGGAGGCAAAACCGGTGTAAAATAACAATAGAAGCTGTGACAAGCCACAGATCCTGTACAAATCCAGCAAAATGCACTTGAAAAAAACCACTAGAACAGTTCCCAGTAACATTAAGTAATCTTGCTGAGCACGCCAAACTTTTTACAATTCTTTAAGCTGTTAAAACCATTGCAACTGCAATAAATATTCATCAACTTAAAAATCAGAAGAATTAAGATAGCTTCCAAAGACAACCCAAATTATTCTTCCATAATAATAATCATTCAACTTTGATTTTATTTTTATTCCACAGCCATCACTGCTAAACTGCTACCACAGCTTTATTATGATACAGTTCCAAAACAAGAATATTTTTCTAAACTAATAAAGATTCTGAGAGCAACCATTGCAAAAAACTAGCCACTCTTTGGCACTTTATTCCATTGCCTAGATGAGCAAATTGGAACACATTTTTATTTAACTGTGATACAACACATTTGATTCAGAAATTTCCAGTGGATGTATCTAGAGCATGACTTTCACTCAGAGGAAAGTTGGAAGCCCCAAGTCGTGAAACATAAACCTACTCATAATTTACTTGCTTTTCATAGCCCAGTGGGGAAAATTTCCAGTGATGAAAAACCATCTTCCAGCAACAGTAAGCAGAAAAAAACTACATAACCAAACTCAATGCAGCTCATGAACGCTAGTCTTGGCAATTAAGAAACAGGGTCCAATTTACCCCTTCCCTGTTAAATCCAGGGATTACTAATTATAAACACTGGTCTTTACTGAGAAAAGGGAGTCAAAGAGAAGAATCAGAGTCTTGACACGTCTTGCATTTTTTATCACTATCTTCTTAGACATAAGTAATTTTACTAAAAAAGGAAAAAAATATTTCATGAAAGTCTGTCTTACTGAAAGTGCAGGAGATGCATCTCATCATCGAGATGTAGCTGACCCAAGTACAGATGGCTGTTGGAAGAGCTGGTCCTACACTGCCCCTTTTCCTCCCTGCATTCCTGATAATCATGAATGCTGTTATTGAAGACAGATCAGTGAGCTACCAGTCCAGGTAAAAATTAATATTTAGTTGCTTGTTTAAAAAGTTAAATCATTGCCATCTGAGTCAGGGTCAAGGAGAAGGAAAAAGCGCCTTTCAGAGGCAGTTCACATTTAGTCATCTTGCAGCAGTGATCAAACAGGATCAGAGAGTAATACAACACATTTGGCTTCTTTCTTCCCCTCTCCCAGACACAATGTGTTGCCTATTAATTTTATTTCTGTTTCTCCTTCACTGATAAAGCAAACATTCTCCAACAGTGACTACGTACTGTGGATTCTATGTGATCTGAGCAGCATGCTGCAAAAATAACCTCTCTGATCCAAAACTTCCATATGAGACAGGCCTCAAGTAACCTTCATGAAAAATCCAAACCCACTCAACCTCCAAGGCACGTAACAGATCAACAAATTAAGGCTGACCTGCATGGATTCAATGTCATGACAGTCCCTGTACTTGCACAAAGCATAAAACTTGCCCAAATAAAAAATAATTAGGCCAAAAATAATTCAGGCCCAATCATACTCCGATTAGAAAGAAATAACTACATGGAACTATTGTCTTCAGGAAAGCCCATCACGTAGTTATTTCTTTCTAATCGGAGTATGGAACTATTGTCTTCAGGAAAGCCCATCACAAGGAAAAAGAGTAACTTCTGGAAAATAGAAATCCACAAAGATCTTTCTATTATGAAAGTCTAATGCAACACAAAGCACAAAATAACAAAGAAAATACCTGGAACTCATACTGGGAGATGAGCCTAACTTTCTCCTTAATTCAAACTACAAATAGTAAATACTCATGAGGAAAAGTCATTTTAGGAATGCAGCTGGGCTCATACAAACCCCTACCAATAAAGTGAACACAGAAAGTCAAGTGAAAAAAGGTACCCAACTCCCTCACATTCATAAGTTCTGTTTATTGAACTGATTTTTTTAAAAGGCACATATTTCAAGTGCCATCAGCATCTAATGGGATTCAGTACTGAAATTATTCTTTTTTAAAGGACCCTAAGTCACTTACACACTTCAGTGTGCACGAACAGCTTACCTAAAAACGCAATGCATCAGTCATACTTAAATTAACACATTCTGATTCAGGAGATAACAATATTTACTATTTTAGGAGTTTAAACAGGATGAATGAATAGGAACAAAAAAAAAAAATCAACTTTGTCTAAGATCATCAGTCAGTCATCAGAATACCTGAATGAGATTTGAAATCTGGAAGATACAGATAGGCTTAAGCACGTATGGGAAAAGAATCTGAGGAAACTTACTTTCATCATAACTAAAAATGGAGAGCTGGTATGCACTTTGTACAGAGTTCCCCACTTGTTTTTACCACGTTCCAGGACAGAACAGACTTAAAATACAAATCCCACTAGGCCCTCTCCCATCTCTAGTACATGCCTGTGCTAAACCCCACTGACCTCAAGCAGTCCAGCAGTAACTATCACCAAGACAGGGGTCAGGATTTCAAAGGACTTTTCACCATGCATCACTAGTATCCCTGTCATTGCAGGCATACTTTCCACTACTATTATAGCCCCTATTAATCTTACAGAATATCCTTACCACATCTCAGCATTTACCTTTGTTGCACTGTCCATTCTCCTTCTGTTGCATGAGTAGGAGCAGTTGAGGAAAACGTGCATCCTTTCAGGATGTGTTTGTTCCAGGGACACAGAATTAGAAATTCAACCAACTGGCAAACCCAACCAAGCCAAATATTCTTACTGTCCCCGGCAACAGCCAATGCCTGATGCTTCACAAGAGAGCAAGAATTAATGAATCAATAATACATAAAAATCTCCTAAGTGCATAACATACAATGTTGCATAGAGACTTGCAACTTTTTGCTGACCTTTAAAGGTACCAGATCGAGCCCTGAAGTATAAGATACCGTAACTCCAGTCTAAATGTATTAATACAAAAATCAAAAGTCAAACCACTGATTTTACATAAAATCAATATACAGATATGCAAATGTTTTAGGGCAAGTGATGTTTTATACCTAAGAAACATTCAGGGCTCAGTTAGGATCCAGTCCATTACTCCATAAAGAGGAATACATGGAGAGAAAGTTTTCTTCGACTTTTCTACGCCAGACTCCCACACAAACATCCATAACATGGGCATGAAAGCAGTGTTTTGATCACTGCTCTTCATCCTGGCAAACAGGCAGAATGGAACAGAAGGAATATAATTTCCAGCTCATCATTCAATACCACCATGGAAACATGCTGCTTTAGAATAAGAAAGATATAGCAGGAAAAGGACTTTCAATTTCTCCTGTTCAAAAAAAAAAAGAAGAAAAAAAATCCAGAAACAAAGGCCCCAGTTCAGTTCTCTCTACCTTGCCTTTAACTGTACTGACCAAAAGTGGAGAAGAAAATTTGTCATACAGCTAGTTAGCTTGCAAATTTGGCCTGACAACACAGCTTAAACAATATTGTTAGAAAAACAATACAGTCTAAAGCACAAGCCATTTAGTAAAACAATAATTTCTGGAACCCTTAAAAGCCCTGGCAAACTTTCAGCTAGTCCCTGAAATGGCTAACTGAAAAGACTAACAGCTTTACAAATGCTAAGAAAGAAGTCGGGTCAGTTCGGTGCCTTCGAGTATCCCATACTTTATACATGGAAGCAAAGAATGGTCATAAGATAAATATGCAAGTTCATATGCATCTATACATTGTCTTTACATAACTTCTTCAAAAGGTTTCTTTGAACGTGGAACATAAACAATGTTTCCTATCATAGAAACACTGAACTGCAACTTTTTGCAGTTTGCAAAAATTTACTGCAATTCCGCAATAAATCTCAGCAGCACGTTCTTCCAATAAATTATACTGCCTCTTTACAGTAATTCTAATTATCTTCAAAGTGTTTTCTCAAAAGGATACAAATAAAGTGAGAAGCCGAGGAGTCTGTCTGGCTTTGAGAGTCAGAGACAGGAACTTTTCCAATCTTGTCCTTAAATCCAATGTCCAAGAATCCTTGAAAAGAAAAACAAATGATGACATTTGTTCACCAAATATGTACACTCTGCTGAAAGTACTGTTTGGATCACAGCAATCTTCCACTAGTACACAAGGCAGCCAGTATTGTATTGAAAAGATTTTCCCATCACTGTTACCGAAGTGAATGTGTTTGCTAGCTACCTGTAAAGTGTACAGAAGTTAGAAGAATGTTCAGTATTATTCCTAGACAAGAGCTCTAAAAAAACCCGATGTAGCTTTATTTCAACTGTAAAACCACCATATTGTGTTGGTGCCTTGTATGAATATGCAACAACTGCCCCTAAATTAGAAGTACCTTTAAAAAAAAAGCAACTTGAGAAAGAGATAAAAATATGAATATTTATTTTACATTTATTAAATAGAGTACAAAATGAATAATTTTCCATTGCTCGGTTTTCAAAAAGTAATCACTGTAGCCATCTTTACAATTCCCAGATCTTGTTAGGAGATTTTGTCATAACTATTGCAAGCATCATGACATGGGCACAACGTTTCTGAAATAAGGATTTGGAGAAAAACAACTCACGTACAAAAAATATACCAACATATCAGCCACTAACTGGAACACTGTCTTCTGCTTGACATAGTGTCTCATAAGCACATGAAAATAGTAGTTAAGGAAAAAAGCCAAACTACACCTAAGAATTCATTGAATGCTCATTTCCTCTATTTCAGACCTTCACTTAAGCTAGTTTCTGATTGATGAAAAGCTAGCCAACACATGAAAAAGCAGTATCTTCCAACAAGTAGCAGAAGCTTCCTAAATTTACTGCTGTATATGTAAATGTTGCAAGCTGTTCTTGCAGCTCAGATTTACCCTTATTTCACCATGCTGGAGAGCATACAGAATTTACTCACTGCATTTACCAATTCAGTTTCCAGACATTGGTGCACCACGTTACCCTGTATATTACCAAAGGAAACATGTCTCCTACAGAGAGGAGCGTATATTATTTTTCAAGATGTATTACACAAACAGACAGGAACTCCAACTATATAAAGCATCAGACGCCTGAGAAAAAAATTCCATAAGAACACTGCTTAGCAGACTAGTGACTCACTGCTGTTCTTTCTCAAACGTAAAACACTCTGTTTCAACACTAACATGGAATGAGCTGTACAATTCCCACAAGAAAATATGAGTTACTGTGGTATAAGAGCTTGGACACTGTGTTACTATGAATAAACCTGAGGATCTTGTCTTAGATAAGGCATTCAAAAAAAAAAAAAGCTGCTAAGTATAATTAAAAAAAGAGTAGTCATATCTCATCTCTGAGGTCAACCAGTACATCTCATTATTTATAGCTAGTCCCAAAGGAAAATGGCAGTATATGCCTTTTTTTGGTACTAAACTGGAACTCCTCATCAGCTGGTACATCCAAAGTCAGCCCTAGGGCAAGTATCACTTAAGCTCTGATTTGATATCAAAGTGTGTGGCAGCGATGCAGGCTGAAGATATCTCCTCCCACCACAATAACTGCCCACAGCTGCTTAGATAAGCCAGCACAACTGTGCATGTGGTAGGACAGTAAAGCATTTCATGCACATAATCCTGCAAAGTATTATACATATTTTACAAACAAATTTGTGTACACGTTTGTATGTACATGGAAGCTGTATCCACACACATTCACAGGCAATAAAGCAGATCAATTCCTTGATCCAGTCCGAGTGCAACCACATAGCCAGTTTTTTCCAGCACAACCGAGAAGTTAAGGCGCAGTTTTGTGCCGCAGGAACAAGCCGTCAGCAAGCGAAGTGATGGCTGTACCTTCCCCACAGGGATTGCCACAAATAGTTTGGAACATCAAACCACAGCTCTGGACATCATCTCATAACCATCTACCTGCACGGTGCCCAGAAAGCAGTCAAAGTAAGGGTGTTTTATTACCCCTTCATAAAGAGAATAACTGTAGATCATCATTACATTGAGAGTGCACCTGCAAATGAGATCTATGTGAAGTTTAAGCACACTAACTTTTACACTCTCTTGTCACCTTGCACATGCAAGCCTAAGCACTGAACTCTTTCAGAGTCATTCAAAGGCAAAGGCTGAAACACATTTAACAAAAAAATTAACCAGGAAAAACGCCTGTGGCAAGAGTCACCAAACCACTAAGCACAGTTATGCTCTTCCAGCATTGTTTTTGGGGGGGTGCGTGGGGGAGAATCTCAGAACTCAGACAACACTGACTCATTTTCTGTTACAGGTCATTTACTTAGCAACTTGACTTTCTCTTTTCCGCATTAAATGAAACTGCTTCAGTCTCCTAATGCCTAGCTATCGTGTTTTAAATCCAGCCACATATATAGAGATAGTGGGGTTGGGCAACAATCTCAAAACAAATAAGTAGACTTGAACTATTATACAGTGATTCCCAGAAGCATGCATGTTTCAGGGTTGTGTGGAAGGGAAGGAGAGGCAGCAATTCTTATTTATGGACACAAAGCTGGCAAGCCACTTAGGACTCAAGCAAATACAAAATAGATATTTAAGACGGTACTCTGTTATTGACAGCGCTCCCACAACCCTTCCTCCATCAAATATATGTTCTTTTCTGATTGTACAGTTTCTGTTAAAGGAAAACAATAAAAACGATTACCGAACTATGCATCATTCAATATCTATCGCCCCATGAGAAAAATCAGCATAAATACCATCTCAGCAAAATAAGATACTTACCTGGAAAAGTTCTTTAAATGAAGGATGTACCATGGGGTTCGGAACAAAAGGCAAAGCATAGAAGGGAAGAAACTCTGTAGTCTGGCTCAGTGCAGCTCCTTTTGTTTCCAGGTATGCCTTAAAATGAGAAATCCTTTCCTCAAGTTCAGCTTTGTCCTAGGAAATAAAGCAGCATATTTATTTAGAAAATTACCACTCTGGACGCGCTATAAAGCTGGCAAATACAAGCAGAGACCTAACTACATTAATATCAAGTTTAAAATCCCAGAATATTTGTTATCTAAAAAGCAACACTTATTTAACTAAAGAGCATTATATCTTGTTTTCACCACTGAAAAAAGAAAATTTAAACCAATGTTGTTGTTTCTGCCCTCCAGGTCCAACAACAGAAGAGGGGAACAATTGCTTTTTGAATATAAATTATTCCTGCCCACTTCAGGCTAGATTTCTAAAGCAGAGTGCCACTTCCACACTCAGGGCAAAGAGGAAACACCTACTTTAGACATGCTTTATTTCAGTGATAAGTGCAGAACCATAAAATCCACTCACATCGCACCAGGAAGAGGAGCTGAGACACAGAACAGACCAAAAGCTCCTTAGAGGCTGGAAAATACACTGAAGGCATCCAAATACTCCTATAGCAGCTGACAGGTATAAGGCAGGAGCTGTTAAGCCCTGGCTGATCTGGCTGACTCAAGGCTACTTAAACGTCTCTTCATCAGAAAAGTCCCACATAACAGAGATTTTATGACAGCTTGGAATTATTGTTTTCAATATGATATATTGAGCTGGTGAAGATTCAGCTTTCCCATTTTATCACAAGTGTTTATATTTCACCACACAGCCTCAGTCCAAACTGGAAATAAGTGTTTTAAGAATCTCCTATAAACTACAATTAGAGGTGTGAAACTATCAGCATGTTGGTATTTTCCAAATTAAAATATTTCAGGAGCTCCAAGATAAGGACACCGCCAAATTCCATCTCTGTACTTCACAATACAAGGGGTCTGGTTCAACTAAAATGCAGCCTGCGGCCCAAAACCTGGATAAGTATTCTGGGAATTCTTCTTACTAAACATCCCATTGTCATCTACACTAGAGACAAATAAATGAAGTAAACCAAAAACAATTTGAAGTTTGAACTGCGAGCTAAACTTACAGGCTTTCCCATAGAGTGTTTTAAGAGGTAGGTGGCAAAGTGTACGTGAAGGTAGAACTCCAGCTTCTGAGCAACTGGTTCATTGTCCCGGACTGAAGATGAAATATGCTCCTCCCAGAGCCGGAAGAAAACTTCCTGCTCACCATTTTCAAATGCTGTAAGCAGATCTTTCTGCAAGGGGGAAAAGCATTCAGTGAAAAATCAAGCACAGAAGAGCTATATTTTTTCAACAGTAGGTTAGTAAATGAAGAATTCAAGTGCCATCTGAACACTTTGAATGAAAAGCTTTATCCAAAATCTCTCACCATTCAATGACCACCTAAATATTCTTTCACTACCTATCCTGTGACTCAGTATCTTTGAGAGTCTGAATCAACCATCAATACAAGAAGTAAAGCCCAAATTTTCAAGCATGTCAATCTGGGGACCCACCTGTACAAGAGGGGAAAATAAACGACTATGGTGCATGAAAATCAGTCTTACCAAAGTACAGCAAGCTAAAAACCTAAAATAATATGAACCAAAACTACTGTCTCAGGTTCAAAAGGACTGGAGTTCTGCAAATATAAAAAACCAAAGTTGACAGCTCCTGTACTAAAAGAAGACTGCTAGTAGACTTCTCCAAATAATCAAGAATCTGTTCAGACAGTTCAGATAATCTCACTGCTGTAATAATTCACATGGTGGTTAGTGGCCTTTAACCATTTTTAATATTAAAGTAAGTGTAAACAATGCATTACCTGAACAGGCAAAGCTTTTGAATCTCTCGAGCAAACACCTGCTGATTTAGGTAGTGGCTTCCCTTTTATTTTACATTCCTTTGTAAATACTTTCACTGTTTCTTCAAATTCAGCAAAATCCAAATACTACAAGATAAAAATAATACAATACAGGAACAATATTTTTTTAGATTATTAATGATTCAATGAGTGACCTACAAATTGCCAAAATCCTTTAAAGTTTTTCTGTAGCAGGCTCCATAAATGCCAAAGACTGCACAGCAACAAACCAAGAACTGGTACCTCATGTGGCAGGAAATTACTGCCTCTGAACTAAGTTGCTTCCTGCATCCTAGAGAATAGTGCTGACAACTGAGCACATCCTCTCTGAAAGAATGATGGCCCTTGATTTAGCCAGTAATTTCATTCAACAAAAGAAGAAAAAGAACCAAAATCCACTAATGCTATACCCTGGTTGAAGAAACAAGTGAATAACTTTCTTGCAAATAATGTTCTCAGAGGGCAGAATTCTTAAGTGTGATTCTCATCTCCACAGAAGCAGTCAGACAACTTGAATTCTAAGCCAGGTCACTCACCTGAAGCTGTGCAAGCCAAATTAATGACCAACTAATCAAGAACTATTCTTCTCAGAAAGAGATAAACAGTCCTGCCTCTTCTTCCCACAATGTGCAGTGGCTATATTCCACACAACTTTCTCCTCCTTCCCCCATTTCAGGGGTCTTAGTTATTGGTTGCCAAGGCAGGACATCACATTTCATTTTGCAAAGTTGATCTGGATGCCCAACATTGCCACAGAGAACAAGAATTGTTTACTTTCCTCACTGTTAACATAAACAGTAGCATAATAATGTACTATAAACCTCTTTTTAGATTTGTTTTCTGAGATCCACAAAAAGACTTCGGTTGTGTATAATTTTGCCATTTGGTAGACTCTTTAGGCAGGAAGTAACTGTCCAGATTTTCAACAGCCAGCCAACAGTGATGGCTGCTGACACTCCTGATCGCCCCTCTGCTGCGCCAGCATCTGTGGGACCCTACAATAGTTTAGGTCCACAAGCACACAAGTACAGCTCCTGTACTAAAAGAAGACTGCTAGTAGACTTCTCCAAATAATCAAGAATCTGTTCAGACAGTTCAGATAATCTCACTGCTGTAATAATTCAGGCATGTAACAGGCGGGTTAGCTTGTTGGTTTGGTGTTCACTGAGGGCCCTAAACCAGGCTACCAACACAGTGTCGATCAAAGGAAAGAGGCAGTATCGAGCAGCAGAGATCACAGTTTGTGTTCTTGTTCCAAATCATAAATATCCCATTTTAGCCAATTTATCCAGAAGGCTGAAGCACAGACTTACCAGAGAGGCACCTGCCCCTGAAAGTTTGTCTGTCACTGTCTTTTTCACAGGACCATTTCACGCTTTAGAGTATCTTCTGATTACCTCTTATGGGAAATATGGGCTGAGGAGTGCCTAGCTGGAAAATCCTGCTTAGGCAATAAACCATGGAGATCAGTGGTCTCAGGACTTCAGCCTCGGCTTTGTAAGCTCTCAGGTGTTTATATGCCTCTGTGTTTTATACACATATGGAATGAGGTGGCAGCTAAGCAAGGTTTTAAAGATCTCACCATTATCACAGGTGAAACCTGAGCCTCAAAGCTGCCTGTGATCTAATCAACTTAACTGTTCCTTTAATTAAAGCCTCATTTGCAATAAACAATAGATAATTCTAGATTGATTTGATGTTTGAGTGCTTGCATTTAATGGACATTGAGCCCATTGAATCTATAGAGCATGACAAGAGTCAATATAATTTCCAGGTGCAGCAAACACTTGACCAGTTAAACAACTCCAGAATTTTGACCACAGTTACAATATCTGGCTCTAAATATAAGCATTATGAATTTTTGCCTTGCTCACTTCAACCAAAAAAAAAAAAAAAAAAGACAAAACCAACCTCTCTCACTAGTCCAAGTAACTCAGCTTCATAAGCTAGAACATCACCCATTGCTAAGCGTTACTGCTACATGTCATCGTTGATAAACCTATAAAATTGTAAAGAAGGGGTGTTAGCAGAAAGCACAGCAGTTCACACAGCCCTGCCACAGCCCAGCTACCCACAGCCCATCAGCCACCTCATCTCCAAACAAACCACATGAGGAAGCTATCCCCCCGAAAGGCACCTTCAAAGAAATTCCGAAGCCGGCCCTCACCGACCCGAACCGTGGTTCTCGCCAAGCC